AATGTCAATGCACCCAAGATTTTTGGGAAACACTGTACATGCTTGGGGGGGGGGGGGGGGGTAAGCTTGGCCTGAGGGCATTCCCAAATGCACAACAAATACTTTTTGGGGATGATAACTTTACATGTTTAGTCAACTTCCTCTTTCTGGTAGCAAAAAAATATATTTACTTGTGTAGACATAAAAATCAAAAGCCAGAATTCATGGCATACAAAAGATATGTAACATATTCCTGGAGATAGAGTACTTCATTGCTGTCGACGGAATAGGTTGACTTCTCATAACAAGAAATGGGGATATTTTATGAAAAATGTTACCCAATCCACTTCACAATATGTAGATTAATTGCAATTTGTAATGTACAAACCAGGTATGTAAGATGTTAATTTCAGTGCCAACTCCAATTAAAGTTTATAAATACAAAAAAAAGTAAGAGATATGGCTCTAGAACCACATTCATTAAAACAAAATGGCACGGACACAGAGGTTAAAACATAAGTCCCCGTTTTTGGACTGCTTTTGAACAGGGACTAACAAAATTTTCATCTTTTATGAAGTCCTCCCCCTCAGCTATACACCCAACCCCTTACTTTCTACGATTTAAATGTTGAGGCCTATAGGCTTATGACCAATTAATTACAGTACCATAATACTTAGCTGATTTTTGCTAAATAATAATTTGTTACCATCTTATAGAAATGACATTGTCTGTTTTTTCCATATATGACACTTTTACTGCGTTATAACTCACAGTAACATTTTAATTCTAAAATCCTGCTAGTATCATTTGATTAAATGCAGATTAATTCAACCACTTGAAAAGTATAATTTTTCTTTTAACAATTCAATCATGCCCCCCCCCCCAAATGATAATTCATTCATAGTTCAATTAATATAAGGAATACAGTATGTAAAAAGTTTTACTCACTGTCTACAAGCGCTACCTCTGGTTTGATTGATGCGGTCTTCATCAAAGGACCCATAACTACAGGTAAATATGCCTGGAAATCAGTGCCCAGTAATTTACACATCCTGGCCCAAGCTGATATCATGAAAGAGATCTGTGGGTCATCGTCTTCCATTTCATTGGCATCTGTCTGCGCTTTCAACAGCAATTGCATAACATCATTGGCATCTTGACGAAACTAAAAGTGCAACAAATTGGTTCAAATTCATTTAACTGTTTTTTCACAAAAAAGGGGTCAACCTTGATGCAAGGCGAGGTGAGGCAAATGTACCAAAGACTCACAAATAGTGAAAGCTTGTACCTGAATCTACACCCGGCATAACAAGAAACATGTTTTAGTACTTGAGTCAATTCAAAGCTGCTTACAAGATAGTATCGGATTGGCTCACCAATCCTAAAACGTAACAGTTGAACCAATCAGAGAGCAGCTTTCAGAGCATTTTTTCTGCCTTGCATATATGCTTTGACAGTGTTTTCCCCAGAAAAATGTATCAGAGTGGCGGCTAATTTGCATATAATTTACATATCATTAGCATTTGTCTGAAGATAAAGAAAACAATAATGACAGGCTTGCATGGATGAAAATGTGTCTTTATTTTTTAACAAATTTATGTAGAAGACTAAATGAATCTGCTGCTGTGTGATTTCTATGTAATGTTGATTTTTCGGACTTTCATGGAAGCCCAGTGATCTGCAGCTTTTGAGAACGCCGTGATTTTCTTTGCTTCCCACTTCTATTAAATGACATAGCCTTCTTGTGCATCTCCGAGTGTGCGTGTTTATCGATAGCATATTTCGTAATAGTTATACATGGCATAGAATTCCATACCAAAGAACTATTTCTGGATGTTTTTAAGTTGAATTTTCCACATATGTGTCACAGCATTCCTAAAAGATAAGAAATAGGAGCGAATCAATACTTGTATTTAAAAAATATCGTC